ACTATGTAATACTTTTTAAGTTCATCCCTTATGCCTTGGAGGGGGGTCAACTTTGTTTTTTTAAATGGTAACACATATTTTTAATTTAATAAAATGTTTGAGTTTTTAATTTAATAGTAAATGGCATTTGAATTTTTAATATAACTTTATTAGCTTATTAGATATAAACATTTAAAGTTTCAAAATTTTGAGTTAATATACATGTATAATACACATGGGATTGTAAATACAGGTAGCTAATTGGATTTTTATGACATTGCTGTCTCAGTCACGGATTGTTTATTATCAATTATGATTATCAATAGATATACTTTCTGTATTGTCAGTTAGTGTATTTATAAACTCATAACAATGTGCCTTACTACAATTGATAATAACAATGCTGTGTACCTGCTAATATCGATGTTATAAAAAACCAATTAGCTACCTGTATTTGTAATCCCTTGTGTATTATACCTGTATATTAATTCAAAAATTTGAAACTTTAAATGATTATATCTAATAAACGAATTAAGTTATATTAAAAATTCAAATGCCATTTACTATTAAATTAAAAACTCAAACATTTTATTAAATTAAAAATATGTGTTACCATTTAAAAAAACAAAGTTGACCCCCTTCCAAGGCATAAGGGATGAACTTAAAAAGTATTACATAGTTAAAAATTCAAGAATAATGTGTAACTAAAGATAATAAAAAAAAAAAATGTTTAAATTATTATTATTCTGCAAGTAATTGAGTGGGTTATGATAAAAAAATCACCCTGTATATTGGTTATATTAATTATTATATATACTTTATTTTTTGAGTTGTTGTAGTTCAGATCTAAGGGTCGAAATTATCAAAATATTTAAACATATAACATCTCAGTATGATGTATAATAATAATTAATTATCACTCTAGTACATTTTAAGTAACAATATTAAACTCAAACCAAAAAAAAAACACTAGTATCACTTTAAGTTTTAAGTTACCTTAAGAACCTTCGCTCACTCAAAAATAAATATAATTTTTAAATTAAAAAGATTAAAGTTCTACAATCATATAATAATTATTTTAATATATTATATTAAAGAAATATCATAAAATTATATATCTTGTTAAGTAAGGAAACGGATTTCTATTGTTCTCATTGTTTATAACTTACTTCTTATTTACTGAATATTCTGTATGTATCTATATAATAATGTGTAACCTATTGAACATTATTTCAAATAATATCGGCACTAGGTTTTGGGAGACACGGGGTAAATCGGGACTTTGGACCCCTGTGTCATGGGCATATGGGGGGTTTCTACAGAGCCAAAAAACATTTTTAATATTAAGTGAAAAACCAAATATATGACAATAGGCACTTCAATAATGATAGAAAGACCCAGTTAACAAAATAATTTGTGATATTTATAAAAACTTTTATAAAATATTTATTAAAAATATTTCGAATAGTAAATACATGTACTAACCAAGTACTCAGTAAAAATTGCGTAAAAAAATGCTTACAAATCGAGTACCGGGTAAAAGCATAGTCTAAAAAAAAAAAAAAAGAGTACTCGGCAAATACTCGGAGATGGGTACTCGGTAATCACTAATATTTTTTACTTATGAATATAATGACATCTATTAGAACTTTATAGAAACATTTTAAAAATACCCAAGTTACATCTTACCCCTATTAAAATTTAACCCTACAATACTAAAACTAAGATGTCGAAAATAATTGTAAAATATTTATTCTACTTGTATTGTTAAAAAACTTCTATTGTTAAGTTTTACTATTTAAAAAAATCAATTTCATTTACCAATTTTACTACGAGTTAATTTATTAGACTAAATTCCTAGACATAAACATTTGTATAATATTGTTGTATTTGCATTTGACGGTTTGTCGTTCTCTTTGAAAAGAAACTGACAGTTTAAAAATGAAAATTGACACAAGATACAGTCTGTTACATGTTACAACAGCTGTCTTACTTTGTTAGTAAATTGCTCACATCATAACATTGCCTCTGGCACTTCGTATAAACTCATTTTGTTAGTCAAAATTTCTTTCCCTATATTAAACTTTAGTAAAATAATGGTTCGTTTACATTTTTCTCTTGTTAATACATTTTTAATTTTAAGAAATAACTCGCTAAGACTTTTAAATACAAGTTAGTACTTGAAAGATACTAAGACAGTATTGTGTTGGAGGTATTGAATGTTTAGGATACTAAAGTTTTTGAATTGGCTCCAATCGATACGGCTACCTTTATAATGATTCCTAGTCAGTTAGACACTAATACATCAGACGGCGTAAAGAGTCAAATTAATATCAGTGTTTAATTTGCAGAGTGAAATTTATAAAATACGTAATCAACATGAAAAAATTATTTAAAATGTATTCACAGAATACATTTTAAATAATAACATTTTTTTGATTTTAATATTTTACTTAATACAATACATCAAAATATAAATAAGTGTTATTTTTGTGAAGTTTTAATAAACACGAATGAAATATATTAGGCCAAATAGAGTTTTAAAGATTTTGACGTTACAAAAAAAAGAATAGTTTTAATAAAGTCTATCGTAGAGGAATTAATTTATTTTACTTGATGAACTAAAAACAATGCAAAAACCAAATATATGTCTTTTTTCATCAAACGTTTAATTAAGAGTTTCATTGTGTCAAATTTAACACTATTTTTTTTCTAAGATGATGAAATATGTTTCTCCGTAAAACTACAAACAAACTCAAGTTAATAGGAATGAATTTGAAGTGACATAAGAAAACAGTAAATATTTGTTTTAATTGCATTATAACGAGCTGACGAGCTCATTCTATTGTAACATTTTAAATTGACAGCGATACGATTTAAATAAATTATTCTAAAATGTTTCTTCTTTTCCGTTAAAACGAAAACCATAAACTCTGTTTGGATATTTTTCGCACGTATTAAACCTCTAAACAAAGGCTTTTTGTTTGATTTAGAAATTGTTAAATGAACCAAATCATTTTTGTCAATTTGACTTAACAGCCTTAATATTTAGCTTCTCGATGTATCGATGTTTTGACCTAATAAGCATAAAAGTATGATGTAACATAACACGGAATAGTATTAAAGTTAAAAATATTTCAGGTTTATCTGACTTATTGATTGTTGATACTATTTTAACTTGACAAGCAAACCCCGTTTGAACTCAAATGAAATTACAAAACACTATAGTATTAAAATGTTAAAAAAATAAATATTTAATCAAATTTTCTTTAAATGTAAACGTTTTGAATTGAAAAATAGTCAAAAACAAAAAAACTAAACATCTCTTAATTATTTGCTTACAACAAATAGCCTTTCTTCCACACTTAAGCGTGTTTCGTTTAATAATCTGAACCTAAAATCTCACATAGTGCAGTGGATGCTATTTTAAATTTTTTTCAACAAATACTTAGTCTTGCTTTTTGTTTTGGCTTAAAGCCAAACATTCGGGTACATGTTTATAAAAGTTGCAATTTGTATAATTTTAATTATCGTAGGAAATTAAGTGATGAAGTTTACTTCGCTTACGTGAGTGGGATTCATTAACATTTAATTAAATTATATTCCCGATTTATGCTCTATTTATAAATTACTTAGCTTAAAACTCAAGTTTTATCTGTTTTGTATTTTTATTTTTTGATATGTACGAAAAAGAAAATAATTCGTCGCTGATTGTTGTAGATTTCAATAAAGGATCTGGAGCTTAACTCAGTGTTTTCAATCATTGGTCTTAATTCTTACGTGACATAACGAGGCAAACCTGGATCAATCATAAATGATGTGTGTTCTGTTTAATTAGAAATTTATCACCTCATAAGATACGGTATGATCTTCTCATACCAATTGTCTGAAACAGGGCTGTTATTATATGCCTATATAATTAGTAACATGTATAACATTATTAGAAAAAATTTTACTCTGTATGCAAACTGTTTACATTTTGTATTTTTAACTGTTTTATTTTTCACCTACCTTTACAATTAACTAGTAAATTTCACATTAAATAAGTATAACAGAAAACGGCGTGTAAAATGATTGTTATGATAAAGTAAAAATATGACATTTTAATATTTAAACGAGACTACTTGTTTAACATAATCATTATACTATCCTCCGTTATATACATTTCATGCATTTATTATGTTAAACAGTTAATTTTTAGTTATATAATAAAATATATTTATAGAGTTTGTTAAGTCATGTAGTTATTGAAAACGTTTCAAATAATAATTTACGTAGTGTCTACATTTTAATTAACAACAAAATGTTTACTAACAGTAAACATATTATTTACTGTCTTCGAAACTTTGATTAGAAATCAAATTAATTTTTATTTATATAAAATAAAATATGTTTAAACCAAATGTTAATTTATTTTTTGTCAATATTTAAAAGTTACCATTAATTTAATTGCAAATTATAATTATATAAGTAACGTATAACGACGTATCAACCAAATATTTGCCAATGCCTCGTTTATAATTATAGCTGTATAAAGATACTAAATAAAGTATTGTGTAGGAGAATAAAAAATATACTTTGAATATTTTCCATAATATTTTTAATAATAAAATTATTTCTTACGAATAAAAGAATAAGTCTTAAGAAGTTTTATTCTTAGATTTTTTGAATTTTTTTTTTATCAAAATAATGTCATCGTGTATAGAACTTTGTAGTAGTTGTGTGTTATATTACATAAAGTCAAACGTGACTGACATAATGATCCCTAACTTTTTTTACCGTCACTTGAATTCTTATAATAAACTTTAATATCGATTCATTAAACCTGCCCACACATTTATTAATTTATAAATAGAGAACATTGTCAGTGTAATATTATTGTAAATAATAAAAATATTTTGCATTTTTCATCTCAAATGTTATATAATATTTCATAATTATATGAACAAAGGTTGTTCACAATTAAATCAAGAAAATTACAATTTTTATGTTTTGTTCAAAATTACATCATATAAACATACTTGTTTTTGGTCTGTTTCGTTGTAAATGTACATAGAGAGCTTGTATGAGATGTCATTTTCAATCTGCAATAAAAAATATATATTTACTACTCATATTTGTTGTAATAAGATGTAATTTTATTTGTTTTTACATTAAACAGTATTGTATTAGTGTGTAGGTTTTTGTTAATCCTTGTGATCATGGTGATACTAACATACATACGCGATATTAAGGCCTAAAGTAGGATGCAACTTTTGGATGTTATGAAAATATATACAACTTAATCGCATAATAAGAGTATGGGTCATATATAGTCACAATGGATCCTGTCTTGCAGTATGGATGACAACGGCAAAATCTCTAAATCATCATTTCTAGTTTTGCAGCTAATTTATCATCAAATAGAATCTAAAGCAGTATCTACTTAATGACACCTTAAAGAAGGAAAAGAAAATTTTTCTTTATCGATATTAACGATGAAAAATATTTATTGAAAATATAATTGAATACTTTAGACTATTTTTATGTGAAATAACTTGTTTCTTAATAAATAAAATGTGTTTGATGATTATTTTCACAATAATACTTTACTAATTTAAGAATCATCAAAAAAGGTTTTATTATAAAAAAATAAAAGTATATAATTAAAACAAATTATCACAATAAAATTAATAAAATGATAATTTTCCAAGCTTGAATATATTTAATTTATTAATATAATATTATTATATATTTCTATAAAATCTCTTCCAAATCATTCTTGTTTATAAGTTGAGTGACATATATATATTGTATAAATTAAGACTATATGTATATAGTAAATGAAATATTTCTATGAAGATTAAAATTTTTAATACTAGAAAAAAAAGATATAATTTTAAAATTTGAATTTTGAACAAAAAATTATCTATTCAGTTGAAAAACTTAAAAGGAAAATTAATTCAAATATTTGATTCACTGTAATATTATTGAAAGATAATTATTTTTAGTTTACTGGTAATGAAAAAATATATCCATTAAAATGGATAAAATTTTTCATTTAAATTTTAGGTAAAATTTAATCAAACATTTATATAGAAAAGTACGTAACGTGTATAATTTAAAAAACACACATATGAAAAAAAAAACAAATCCTTATAAATATTTGTTTTTTTTCAGATGTAATAACTAGAATAACACTATAGTATTGTTCTAGTTATTAAATTACCACATAGATAGAATTTAGAATTTCATATAAAAATATTGAAAGAAAATTTAACAACTGTATTTTTATCCTTGTATTTTAAAAATTGTATAAATAGAACCAATTTCAGACAATTCTATGTATAATAAAATAAATCCATTCTCCCAAATATATAAAATTATTCAGAATTCATATTATTGCATCAATGAATAAATGAATCGTGTAGATTTAAATTTAAGATGAAAATGTTGTGTAAATGATATATTAATTAGTATTAATCTTAAAATACATTGGTATTGGTACATTATCTTAACTAAATGTATTTTTCATTTATTTATCAAGAATATCAGGAAAATAAGTCTTATTAGATTAAAAATTAACATCTCTTGGAGTTTTTACATTTATGGGTAATTTTAGACATGAGTTTTATCATTTTTATTCCATACAATTTTCCCTGCTTCAAATAGATGATTAAATAAAACCACTGTTTTATTCATTACTCAAACAATGATACAAAATACTATGAAAAAAATGTCCTTTACCCAATATAAAACTTATTTTATAGGTGCATACTTTGAAATTAAACTCTAGTTATATTAAATGTTCCCCTCACCCCTAAATGAATGATTATTATTTCTGTTTTTCTATAACTTAAAAATTTAATCCAACAATTTTTTTTTTTAAAAGAATACTATATCATTTTATGTATACAGTTTTATTATTATTATTTTTTATTAAACATTTATTCAAATTATATATTTATCAAAATAGAAACAACAGCATTTGAAAAAGTTTACTTGAATAAAAAAAAAAAATACATTTGGCTAAGAATGTATTAATATTTCAGGTAATGCAAATAATAATACTACTATTGCTTAAGCTACATCTTTATAAAATAATATACATTATTATTAGCTTATATTGGCATATAAAAAGCATAAATATTTGTAGTTATTTGAAAATTTATATTATGTTTATTATTTAAACGACCATTCCACCAGTATTATGAATACTGGTGGAATGATTTATATAACAAGTTAAACATATCATAATTAAAGTATTGATAATTAGAGTAAATACATTATAAACTGACCATGCGCTATTATAATAATAATAGTTATAATTTATATAAATTGGTTAAACTATTTGTAACAAATAGGTTTTGTTTAATTTAATCGTATGGTTTTATGAGACTAAAAAATAGGCTTTAAACTAAATATGAATAACAAGTTTAATTCTATGTTATCCGGTAACATGTTAACGTTATATGTGTTTATCAATTTTTCTTAATTTTTTTACAAAAATATTTTTTTACATTCAAACATAACAAGAATAAACTACTTTTAATTAATTTAATATTCATAACCAGCTTTTAATCCTTAAATTAACATTTTTTATTTCTGAGCATCGATTAATAAAATATGCTTCACCTTGTTTTATTTGATGTATATCAGTTATAAATTTTAACAAAAACTAATAATGTAACTAAAAGTTATTTTGATATAATCTATTTTACATATATCTATAACTAATTAAAAATATTTAATAAAAGACATTTTTAACATTAATTTTATTGTGAAAAATGACAAATAGTAACAACATTAAAAACAATTGTATACATTTTGATTTAAATTCAGAATTAAAAGTCATAAATATTTTTAATTGCTAATCAATATGATAAAAGTAATGTGTACATAATACACATTATTAATAAAATTAAACGTATGTCTAAAAAAATTTTTAGCGCTGGTTGCTTATAAATTTATTTTTTAGTGCTTTTGTAGAGAAGTGTAGAGAATTTTGGTCGCATAATTTTTCTAAGATTAAAACTAAACAAATCACTTAGATTGACGTAATTATGAAAACAATACAAGTTTTTTACCTATAAAAATGTTTTACAAGATATTAGCAAAAAATGTTTATTTTTTAAATATTCTGGGTAGTTATAGATAATATTTATGCTTACAGTCTACCATATTGTTTTATAAAATAAATAAATACATATTTACATAATAGTGTTAGGGATGATTTTGTAAACTTCATTGCATTTTGTCCAGGGAACTTCATATTTAGAACATTTGCTTGTCGGATTATATATACTTATATTTTTCATTATAAATACAATACTTGTAACACTTCGACAATAAATATTGACACTTTTATTAGGTATTTTATATTATATTCATCACAAAAAAATAATATTAACTCACTTCCCTTTCTATTTATTTTAATTTACTAAGGTACAATTACATTATCTTATAAAAAAACGAAAGTTATATTATAATTATAGCTTTGTAGTTAGTTAATACTTTTAGCGAATAATTAGTCACTTTTTTTAAGATTAAAACCTTTTAATTTATAACAATAAATTAATATTATTTATAAATAAATACACTTTGATTTTACAAATTGTTTAAGAGATTCATCAATTTATTCATTATTTAAATAAAAAAATTGTTTGAATTGTCTATATTATTTAAAATATATTTAAATTATACAAAGTATAAAACAATTTAGGTATTTAATTTTTTTGTACGATTTAGATTTTTATTAAATGAATATTTATATAATATGGAATAGATTTTGAACTTTAGATTTCAGATATAAAACGTGATTTATTTAAAATTTTCAAGATGTTGGATTTAAATGTAAGTCCACTTAAAAGTGCATATATTTCAGAATTAGAATTTTTTATTTAGATATTTAGACACTTTATGTGGGATTTACTTTAAACCAGTACAATACTATTGTCTTTTCAATGTGTTTACTAACCAATACTTAAGGTACATGTTTTGTCCCGATATGAGAACTTTCAGCATTTATTTTAAAAAATAAGCAATACAGAAATAAATAAAAAACTAATATGTATCTTACTTAAATTTTACTTAAAAGTTTACCCCACTTGGTATCCTGCAAATATTTTTTTAAGAGAGGCTGTTATTTTTTATTACTACAATTGTCACTTTTGGTCTAGTCCTAAGCTCACTCAGAACGCAAATTGAATTTCACACACTTTACACATGGGTATTCTTTACATCGTGCCACCTGAGCGCGACGTTTCAATAAAAAATATTTCCAAACCAGAATCCGCATTACATTTGATACTTCTGTTAATAAAACAGAAATTTCACTAATAATCTATAAATAAACAATACAGAATTTTAAACCATTAATAGCAATAGAATAACTTAATATGATTTTTATTCGGATAGATTTAAGAAAGAAAAATCAAAACGATATTACAAATGCAATTTTTTAGAAATTTATTGCTATTATTTAGAATCTTATTGTTAAATTATACATTTATTTTATTTTAACTAGCTGCTATGAAGAAGAGCAAAAGAAAATAAATAAATATTTTTCTAAATTACCAGAAAAATTAATTTTTTTTGTAAATAGTATTTGTGAGCACAAACATTCTTTGATAATATTTTGATTAATATTACGACTCTTGTTCAATAACAAATGAATAACTAAATAAAACATTTTCATGTTTTCTTGGTCTGCTTTAGAATACATTTCGCATGTTATACAACATAAAAACTAATGATGTGTAAGTGTCAATTACTTTAAATTTTATTGAACAGCTTGGATAAATAGTGTAATATATAAAATACTTAAGTATAATTGAAGAATAAGAACTTTATTTGATTTTGATGTTGAAATTCGAACGTAGGTGTTGAATGCGACGCTTTATTATAGAGTGGATATAATCAATTTATAACAAGTGAACCGCAATAAGATAATATCATAAGGAAAATCGGATGAATCGGATGTAATAAGCTGTACATCAATGAAAATTTTATTTTAAAATAATTTGCAAATTATCTACAAAATGATAATTTGGTAGACCTTTTTATAGAAATTTTACATGTAATTTCAAAGAACTATGAAAGGAAA